GGGGGGGGGGGGGGGGGGGGGGGGGGACGGCTTCTCAATATTGAACAAAAGAAATTTTAGGAACAATGGCACTATGGTCATTTTAAGCATAAGCCTACAAAAGGGGAAGCATGGAAGTCGAGTATGGTCTTGAACTCGAGATATTAAAAAGGAAAGTAAACGTCGAGAACTTACTCCCAAGGGTCATCTCCAAGGAGAAGTACATCATTCTCCCTGTCGACAAATACAAGCTGCCAGCCTGATCTATGAGGGTCTACCAACTGTCCCTCAATCCCAAACATCTGAGCCAGCTCCTCTCGCAGCTCCTGATAGCTGCTGAACCGGGAGATGTCTAGTGAACGCCCAACAGATCCGGATTTGTAAACCTAAAAGAAAAAGAGTTATAAGCCAGCATACAACTTATATAAACACCATTTACCTCAAGTGTTTCCAGGTTCACACCTTCACAAATGTCCGAGTTGGATTCAATGGATCACCTTGCCCCGAGCTGTGCAACAACTCAGAAGAGTCTTGGACACATCTGTACATAGAATTCTGAAATCCAGAATCTCCCATTGGCATTGAGGATGAATCAGGACCAATTGATGGAGAAGCATAAGTGGGCACATTAGAGGGAAGTAGAAGTCCGGATGAATCAATATTTACACCAAAAAGTGTACGACTTGGAGAATCTGAATTACAATTTCCCAGCTCCAAAATCGAGTCTCTACCAGAAAATGGAGGAGGAAATGTCATCGAGTTCGAGTGAGCATCAACCTGTGGATGAGCATTCTTAGAAACAGGAGATTGTTGAGGTAACTGCTCAGTTAGGATCGACTGCCCACTTCTATAGATATTGGAAAAATTTCCCGTCCCTTCAGCACACGATGAAGCAAGTATATTTCTTCTAGAGATCATGGATTCAGAGTAATTTGTGTTGGAATCCGTAAGCTCTGTCCTGGGAAATGGGGGTGATGGCACATTTGAATTTTCACCCTGATGAAATTGATTGCTTTGAACCTGAAGGGTATCATGATAAGTACGCTGTTGCTGGTTTGGAATATCCTCTGGTTGATTTTGTGGAGTTTGCTGGAGAATGTGTTGGGGTATATTCTCTGCCATAACTTGGCTTGGTGTCTGAAGGATGTTCTGAGGCATAGATTGTTGAACCAATTGCTGTTGCTGCTGCAATAGAGAGTTATGGAAGCCTGCCTGTTGAATATATTGGAAAGGTTGTTGAAGATGCATAATTTGCTGTCTCAGCCTATCAACGCCTCCAAGGTTCGGCATTCCAGCAGCTAACATGGCTTGATACTGCTGATTATGATCATTTCCGAACATGGGAGAATCGAGTCTCTGCTGCAACAACGGCAGTGAGCCCATGGATTGCAAATTCAGTGAGTGTAGACCCTGATCCCCGACTCCTCCTCGAAGCCACATTAAGCCATTAGAAGCATCGTCTCTGTTATCTGTAAAACCATTACACAAACGTTCAGGGTACTAGAAGCCTAGGTAATAGCATCAAACGTTCAGGGTACTGGAATTTTTTTTAAAATGGCGAACAATATAATCCAAAACGAATGTGAGATCCCAGTCACGCTAACTACCTTCCTTAATCCTCAAAACTCTACATACACTCCAACCAATAAACCAAAATCAGTGCATCTGATTCCCAAAAACGAAATAACTTTAATCCATTTAAATTTTCCATCTAAAGAATATGCATTAAAAAGCATCTAAACTTCAGAAAATAGTTCAGACACCTAATGCATCGGCAGAATGAATTAATTCGATAGAAAACAAGTACCATGAACAGAGGAGACTCCAGGATGCCATGGACGTTTCAACCTAAGTGGAAAAAGAGACGGATACATAGGAAATGTAGTTAAAGGCTCAATTTCCCACAACGACACCCTTGGCTGCCTCTCCCCAGCTGCTGACTCGTCCCACCCTACCTGCAAACAAAAGAAGGTATGGCCAATAGACAATTATTAGCCCACATTTAAACAACCAAACGATGAAGATTATAGACTCTACTTTGAGAAACCACAAAAGGACACAGGTTACCAAATCAGCAGTACAGTAGAGAAAGCCATTCATACTGTAGCCCAAAATCTAAACATGCACTACTACATAAAGTAAAGAGAAATAACGACGTCGTAAATTGCTGCAACACCTTGACAGAACGCCAATGAGAATTCGGCCAACGAACAGGGTCAAGATCACTTATTCCAGTTATTGTACCCATGTACCTGACAATTCAACTATCCACATGTTAGCATGCAGAACATGCAAATTGTGGTAAGATATCCATAATAAAAGGTATACTTCTTAACCTCACAGGTAGATCAACTAGTATTCAAGGAAAAATTCTAAATATCATGGAAACTTAAAAGAAATTTTAACCACAACTCATCGGAGTTCATCAATATCTCAAGACAAAATATGTGCATTATTACATGAATAGATAGTAATAGTACTGATAGATGAACAAAAATTTGCTTAATTCACAAGTAACAGTTGACTAAATACAGCTTTCTTTAATTGTTTTTCCTTTATTATTATTATTAGTTGTGATAAGAAATTGAGAACAATTAATTAAGGGCTCATTTGATACGTTCTCGTTTCCTGTTTCTGGTTTCTTTAACAAACATACAAACCATCTCATTTCTTGTTTCTAAATTTTTAAAAACAATTTGGGGCAAATTTAGCGAACCATAGTTTGGATTTCTTTTTCAGTTTTCATGTGCCCCTCTTTCTTTCTTTCTTTCTTTCTTTCTTTCTTTCTCTCTCTCTCTCTCTCTCTCTCTCTCTGACTATTGTAAGCCAATGTCACTAAAAATTGGCTAGAGTAGGAGGTGATATTGTAGATCAAATTTGAATAACATTTGAAGGATAAAACAAAACATTGACCAAAATAGAATGAATTAGTTCAGCAAATGATCAAGGAAACAAACTATTAAAATCACTTGATATTGGAAAAATATTGCCAAATATCTAGGTTATCTCCAATTTTGCCAATTTTCTGGAAAGACAACCTTCCTCACTATCATTGTCAAGGGTTTAACTGTTCAAATTTATTAGTCGATGTCAATCATATTTCATCCTGATCCTAGAAAGAACTTGTGAGACATCCATCGTGAGTAGCCATTTGATGGAGTAGAATACTTTGGGGACTTTCGTCTAGAGGAAACATTCAACTCACTTGAATAAACCATGTTTTGTCTCGTTTTTCTATTTTGTTTGTGATTGGTTGAATAACCCACTGTATATTGAAGAACTATCAATAGAATCAGTGTTTGGTTTTAAATTATTCCTCTGTTTGTATGCAATTTCATAATCTAGATAGTACCCAACATATTAGTATTAGATCCAAGTTCATCCGAAGAGAACGCAGAGATTGGCGCAAGAACAACTTAAGGAGAGGATGGAAAGCACTAAGAAGTAAGAAGGAAGTTGTTGGGAAAGAATCAGGCGTGTGTGAAGGAAAATATGTGGGAGATGAAAAAAAGACCATGGCTACCATGTTGCTTGAATTCTCCCATGGTAAAGGTCAAATATCGTCAATCGTAACAAGAAGTTCTTTGGAGAAACAAGTTTATCCGAAGAGAACGCAGAGATTGGTGCAAAAACAACTAAAGGAGAGGATGGAAAGCACTAAGAAGGAAGTTGTTGAGATCAAATAAGTACTACAAAGGTTGGGACAGAATCAGGCGTGTGTGGAGGAAAATATGTGGGAAATGAAAAAAAATCATGGCTATAATGTTGCCTGAATTCTCCCATGGTAAAGGTCAAATATCATCAACCGTCACAAGGCCAGGCATTGCTTCAGCCAAATAGGTCCAGCCAAGCCCAGAAAAATTTGTAAATTCCAATGCCATCAAGCCCACAAATCAAAATTCCAGCTTAATACCGATCCAATCAGTTACCCTACCAAATAAGGGGAATACCAATCCAAGAGGGTATCAGAAGTTGAGTTTCAATGAACAGAGAAAAAGGGCTCTGCTTTAGGTGCAACAAGACGCATATGAAAGGGCACAATTTCAAAACTCATGAATCTGATATTGGACCTTCAAAACTCAAGAAGGTGGAATTGGACCTGAAATCTGATATTGGGTTTTCGCTCCGAGAACAATAAAGGTCAAAGGGTTGATAGGTGAAAAGAGGCAATGGTTTTAATCAATTGGGGAGTCACCCATAAAAATTCATCTCATAACTAGGGGATGAATTGATGTTACCTCTTACAACATCGTCAGATTATGAGGTGGAAATGGGAATGGGATTTGCGATGCTAGGCAAGGTAGTTTGTAAGTCTGTCATGGTAAGGACTACTCGAGTTGACAGTTCAAGAGAATTTCTTACCTAGGTTGGAATTGGAGAAGAATAAGGTCACCATGGAGGGAGACCCATTATTAACAAAGGCTTTTCTCTCAAAAGATTCTCACTCAAACATGATCAGATCTAGATCAAGGGTCTAAACCTCAAGGAAAAGGCAATGGGGTTAACGTCGAATGAAATGTCTGCATAACTTAAGGAATTATGAGCACCTAAAAGAGATGGTGACCATCAAATTGTGCTGGAGGGCCAACAATCGGTTAATACCTTACAAGAAGGCTCATTCCCATAAATCATAAATAGAGAGATTAATCATTGAAATGTCAGCTTTCGAGATAATCAGACCGTGTAACAACTCTTTCTCAAGCCCAATACTCCTATTTAAGTAGAAAGATTGGGTTGAAGACTCGATGTGGATTACCATAGTTTAAAGGTGATTGTATCAAATAATTTTCCCACACCTGCCATTAAGGAATTACTAGATGAGCTCCACCTGTCAACTGTTTATTCCAAACTTGACTTGAAACCTATGTACCATCCAATCAAAATGCATGGGTCTGATTCCCCATTTTTGAAAGCAAGAAAGACATTAAGAGATTTTAGTGAAGCCATTCAGACTATCCAATGCTCCAACCACTTTTCAGTCGTCAATGAACCCCATGTGTTTCGTCCCTTATGGAAAATATTCATACTCGCTTTTTAATGATATTTTGATTGACAAACCCTGATCTTGCAACCTATGTGAAATATAAGATGGTCATCTTCAACATTTAGTATGATCAAGTGGCGGATAAGATACGTAAAAGGCTTGCTTCTTGAAAGAGAGGTTTGTTCTTCAAAGATGATAGGATAACCCTCATTCGTTAAATTTTGAGTGGAATTTCCACTTACTTATTTTATTGTTCTCTCTATAAGGATCCTTCTCCAATGTGTAAGAATCTAGAGAAGATGAGGGATTCTTTGTGGAAAGGGGTTGATGAGGGGAAAGGTGCCCATTGGGTGAATTGTGAGCGGGTGGGAAAGCCAATGAGCATTAGAAGTAGGGAATTTAAAATCTCATAACAAAGCCCTCTTAACTTAATGGTCGTGGCATTTTTTCCTCGAGTCTACTACCTTTTGGCATAGGATAATTGCAAGCAAATACGACTCTCATACTTTTGGTTAGATGTCAAGATTGTTCTGTGGGTGATGGGAATGCTACGATTTTTGGAAAGATAAGTAGATGGAGGATAGAACCATCTACAATACATTTCCTTGTTTATACCACTTGTGTTGTATGAAAATTGTCAAGTGGTTGATGTTGTTCAATCTAGGAGCTCTGACTCTCTTTCGCTTGGGTTCCATCATAATTCATCTAATCTAATAAGCAAGCAACTGATCTTTGATTGGAGAGGCTTTGTTTAAGTTGTGAGGAAGGGACTTCGTCTCAAGAGTCTTGGCCCGACTAAAGGCTTTTCATTTAGCTCCTTTTATCGATGCTTATTGAACCTTTCTCCACCTAGTGAGTTTGTTCTCTCCACTCTTTGGAATGTGAAAATCCTAAAAAAATGTTACGTTCTTCATCTCACAGGCTATCCTGGGAAGAGTTAATACTCCTGATAGGCTTTTGAGGAAGCTGTAGCTGTCTTCCTTGATTGGATCGTTTCATTGCATCCCTTTGTTGAAAAGTGGAGGAAGACCTAGATCATGTCTTATGGAACTGCAAGTTTCCTTATTCCGTCTGCAATCACGTTTTTTGTTGCGTTCAGTATCCAGTTTGCTAGACACAGAGATTATAGGGAGATGCTAGGAGTTTCTTAGTAACCCTCTTTTTCATGATAAAGGGAGATTTCCTTGGCAACATGGGATATTTGCTAATTTATGGGGTCTTTGGGAGAAGAGAAACAAATAGAACTTATAGAGGTATAGAGTGGGTCCTTATGATTTTTGGTCCCTCGCTAGATCCTATGTTGCTTTTAGGCATCGGTGACAATCATTATGTAATTAATACGTTAGGTCTCATTCTGCCTGACTGGAGTCCCTTCGTTTAGAGGTCTACCTTTTCTAGTGGGCTTCTTTCTTTTGGATGCTCTATATTCGTTCATTCTTTCTCAACGAATTCTCTCAACAACTTTAAACCAACTTCTCAAAATGTATTCTTTTGTATGGACTGAAGATGAAGATGTGACTTTTGAGGTTCTGAAACAAGCAATATCTACTCTACCCTTGTTAGCCCTTAATAATTTCAGCCTTCCTTTAGTAATTGAAACGAACGCGTCAGGAACGTGATTGGAAGGATCGTTGCCACAATGACACAAGCCAATAGGCTTCTTTAGTCAATCCTTATTTTCCAGGGCCAGAATTAAATCAGTCAACGAACGTGAACTTATGGCCATCATCCTAGCAAATCCAAGGTGGAGGCATAACTTGCTTGGTCAAAAGTTTAAGGTTCGAATTGATTAGAGATCTTTGTGTCATTTGCTCGAATAAAGAGGTATACCTTTAGAGTATCAAAATAGATTGAAGAAATTAATCAGTATGATTTTGGAATCAAGTACCCTGTCGGATTGTTGAACAAAACCCCAAATTATCACCGACAACCAAATTGAATGTACTATTTGTTTTTTGCTATCATCGATGGGTCGACCATTCAAAGGGAGGTCGAGCCCAATGTCGTGCTGAAGCAACTCCAAGACCAAATAGAGAGAGAACTCAAGAGTAAACATAACTACTCAATGCATTAGGTTTGGGATCGTGTTTCTCTTTTGGTTGTGAACAGAAGAACCACCGTTAGTGCAATGTTTGGCTTTCATTATTCCTGAGTTTGTGCGTTAGTATGTGTTTTGTAGGTGAAATCTCGTTAGATACCTAACAAATTCTATTTGGTTGACACAAGTAAATTTTCTATCTCCATTGAAACAGAAAAATTATCTGCCATAAGTGGAAAAGTAACATTACAACCATCCAAGGAGATGAACAATCACTTACTCTTTACAAGCCAGAAAAATCGTGAATATTGCCAATAGAACCAACCAAACAATTTTATCATTTAAATGCAATAAACTCCCACAGTTGGAATGCAAGAATACCTTTTCTTTTTCTTTTCTTTTCTTTGTTATTTCATTAAAAGTACGAAATAATTGAAGGGATGGAAAGGCCGATAAGCTACATAAAATGCCTACAAAAGTATTTGCACCAAGAAAAGGCTACAAAAGTATTTTGCTCCCAAGAAGGAGAAAAAAAAAAAAAAAAAAAAAAAAA